CTGGAGGGAATCAGGATCATCCAGCATCGGTCAGTCCTGCGGGTTTCCTGACCTGCTAGAACCGGAAACCACCTCAGATCATTGCCGGTGTGTGATATTGAGCAAGTGTCCGCACCACGAAATCGCCAAACGTTTGGCACTTCCTTACAGGCTCCCTTTTCTTGGCTCCATCAAAGCAGGGACTCTCTCTTACTATGAGAGCAAAAATCTCAGATAACACAGCCTCAATCTCTGTTTAAACACTAGTGGAAATCAAAATGACGTTATTCCAAACGGATATGGCAGTGAGAAAGAAGGGGCTGCTTCTTGAGGGAACAATGGGTGCAAATCTAAGACTCTCCTTGCTTCACTATTATCATCACTGTTGCTTGTAATTTTTAGAAACCCCGTAGACAGGCGTCCATTGTGCTGGGGTACTATACAAACATGCAAAAAAAAAATAAAAAAAATTCAGCCCTTGATTTAAAGAGTTTTCCAGGCTTTGATCTCAGCAGTGAGCTTCCAGCATAAGAATGAACATTATGCTGTTGCTAGTAGCCATGTTCTCCAGGTAACTGCCTTGAGAGCAGTCACACAGTGATGGGACCAAGGATTTGACCGGCATCAGCATCCCTAGCACTGATTTATTTGGGCAGCCTGTCCTCTCTGGCAGGTGTCACTCCAGCCAGTGAAAGACACTGAGATGGGTTTCAAAGAGAAGTTATGGTAATGAGCAGAGCTAAAATGCATATAGAGAAGAGTTACAAAGCTTCCCCCTAGGGCCGGGCCAATGGCCTTACAGATAATGCTCTGCCTTGAACTGATTATCGACAGCATTATCTTAGTTTTCTCTCCTCATTCATTCACTTGTAGCCTTTATCTTTATTCCTTCTTTGCTGCTGGGAAAAAAAGGAAGAAAAAAACCCTCCACTCTTGTACAATGGATGTTTTATATTTCATATTAAAATAGAACCATCTCTTTTCCCTTCTTTTTTCCTATGCACCAATCCCAGTTTCTCGCCCCCCCCAAAAAAAAGTTTCACCTCATTTATTGTTATGTCAAGACAAGATTTCTTTTTCTGGCTCATTATTTCCTGGAGCTGAGTCTCACAATATGAAAGTACTGACAGAGCGTGTGCCGGGCTGAGGAATACAAAGATCTCGCTGGAAGATAAGGCCATTGTCTTCAGCGCACTAATAAAGTTGAACACGATCGAGTTGCAAAGGGAAAACAAAACGAACGCTTGCCTGGGGCTCAGCCTGCGCGCTGACATTGTGCACGAGGAAAGCTTTGGCTGGAGGTAGATTCTCCCCCGCCCCTTTATTAAGTGCCTTTCTGCGGCAGGGGGGCCTCTGCTCCTGAGCACCTCCCAATGACTGCCCTTAGGACTGGCATGGCCAGGGTCTACTGCGTGCTTTGTTGGAAGGGTGCATTTACGGAAAGCCTGTGAAGGGTTAATCGAGTGATTAGCAGAGGGTTGTGGGAGGTTACAAACATGCACAGCACCAGAGAGGCCTTGCAAGCATCCTGTAGACTTGTGGACCTAGTAACTATAACTAGGCTGAAAGAGGTCAAGTGTTTCAACATCAACGATTGCATTTTTTAAAACGTGCTCGTAAAAGATGACATCATCATCTAATTTATTTCTGTATAAATATTAACAAATGATTGTTTATTAACGCATCAGGGGGCCTATAGGTGTGCTCATTCACTTTCTAATTACAGTGTGTCGGAGCAGACTCAATTCATCGTCAGCTCCGTCTTCTAATTGGAACGCTTCAACATCGCCTCGCCTCGCCGTCATGTGTATTAAGCCCCTGAGCATTTGAAAATGGCCTCTGGGGCACTTCATCTAAAGCTTGTCCAATGAGGTTTAGCTAAAGCATCCCTTTTCAAATGCACGGAGACGTAATACACATGACGGGGAACTGTTTTAATTAGAGCAGCTATCCAGGAAACACTCCAATTGAAAGCTCCTCCCCCCACCCTGGAGCATGTCAGTCATATAGGCAGTCATAGGGACTGGACCCAGTATACACTCTCCATAAATATACCCTAAATACAAAGCCCTTTCAACTTTTAAGGGGTGAAATGAGGACAGAGAGTTTGGTTTGTACCTTGGGGACTGGCCACCTGAGCCCCTCATAAACATCCCTGAAGTCCTCCTTTCCCCTCCTCCCTCTGAGACACTTGAGTGTCACCACCAGTTTCCACACAAGGCGCCTCCCAATGAAGCCAGGATTTTCAGAAAGACCCAGCCCCTCTTTGCACAGTGAAGCCACTGGGTACCCTGAAACCTTTCCATGAACCACCAGGATCCCGTCGAGGTAGAGCAAAGGGATCCTGCTTTACACTTAGGGTGCATCTACACAGAGTTTATAAAGACTCGATAAACCCTGTGAAAACCTGGCCCTGTCTGAACGTTGAGCACCTGGAAAAGTTTGAAAAAACCTGCTCAAGTTCACAAAAGAAGACTTGCAGCAGAGCTGGAAACCGAATCTGGATCACTGATCTCTCGGTCCCGCAGCCGCCCCACAAGTTCTTCTCCCTCGGTCATGAAGCCAAGGTCATGTCCTCTAGATCTGTATTTTTCTGCTGCTCATCTACCCAATGCTTTGCTCACCACTGGTGCGGAGGGAGAAAAATAAAAGAAAAACCCACTTGAAGGAATGACATCGTGCATCAAACTAAAACTTGTCTTCCTCTTTCTCGTTGCCTCAACACTAAATAACTATTTGGCTTCTGCATCTCTGCTTTGAGAAGTGTTCCCATTCCACTTTTTAAATTATTCATAACAAGCCATAGGTTTAGTAAAGCAAAAGCAACAATTTTTTCTATCTGAGCACATAATTAACGCACAAAGTCTGATACACCGGTTGATTTAAACATATTACTGAATCAGTGTTCGTTCTTTGTAAGTGCTGGAAAACCTGAACATGTTTTAAAAAAAGCAATGATCTGACATTTGTCACTGAAATGTGACTATTACATGAAATTAAATTAGACATCCTCCATGCAAATTTTCAAAGAATAACTTTTCTCTGTGTAGTACAAAAAAGCCTCCCCATAATTGATAGGCAGAGATTGACTTTTAAAGCTTCAAATCAGCTTTGAGGTTTGGGTGATCTTTTAAACTGTTCAAGCTTTCATCTGCTGGGTTTTGCATTGCCGAGACCCATCAATCAAATAACGGATTTCTGATCAATATCCTCTTGTTCATTAGCTTATGTGAACCCTATTATGGAGAGAAGAGCTGTCCTGACTCTGGCAGTCGCTGTTTTCTGCACTTTACCTGGATTGAGCCATGGCAAATGTTCCCAGTGGGAGTATGATGCACTGGTATGTCGTCTGATTCACCTGAACTGCAGTTTTCCTGGGCTGGAGATGCCAAGATGAGTGATAGGCACAGCTAAAACGTATCACAAATCCCCACCAAGATAACCATAGGCATATCCAAAGTTTATTCGAGCTCTTCAGCCTCTAGAGACTTTTATCTTAAGTCACAATTCAAATCAGAACGGGCTTTCTTGAATGGTTTCTGGCATTTCCCATTTCCGGCGCATGTGAAAAGAACAGGGACAGCCTGCTTTCTTGTGCTGCCCCATTTTACTCAGTGGACAAACTCCCACTGACTTCCGTAGGACATAGATTTCACGCAAGGTGTTTTGACCCTTTTACACCTGGGCCAGGCTAGAAATAACTTATTCTCTGAAAAGCCACTGCAAAACAAATTATAAGAATAACCTGCCCATCCTACTAACATTTCTAAGTAACTCCTACATGGTTTGGTTTGGGTCCAAACTTCAGTTTAAGCTAGAAGCCCTCTTGATGGGAAGTTCTTGCTAATAGGACTGATGAACACGTCCGTTCTGACTACTGTGAATAGTCTCACTGGAAATAATGCTGATTCATGATGGAAAGAATTAACACTTAATAAGTATTTGCATAATTTTGACCATATGCTGTGGCAGGTGCCAACGAGATTAGGGGCTATAGGCTGTACAGGCGTGATAGAGAAGGT